GGATAGCCTCTGGATTGTCCAGGGTGCTGAAATAAAAGGAATATCTCTGGCGGGATTCTGAGCTTTTCTCAGCTTGGTCAGAAGTGCTGTTGTTGTCTGTACCTATCCCACTGTCACTCGGTATGGTTTCTTCACTGTGAGACTCGCTCACTGGCGACAGTGTGACTTCTTTCAGAGAACCTATTTCACAGAGGTGGGAAGGTGAATTAGCCATTAACCTGGGTGGAGACAGCTTCCAAATTCCACTGTGCATTCCTTTCTGTGTTTTTGTAGGAAGAGTGCTGATAGGTTGAAGATTTAGCATAGTTTTTAACTCTGAAAAGTTTGTGCTTGCAGGGCTAAGATTGCCATTATTCCCCACTAACTGTGTTGAACGTGGATAAATAGCTGGTGATGATGCCACAAGTGATTGCAGGTTGGAAGGCACTGATGGGTTTTCTGGCTGGCTGGAAACAGGTCTTGAGTGCTTGATGGATGTCTTAGGTTCTTCTGGCTGAGGCTGCAGCTCTGCTCTTGGCTTTCTGCCCCATTTTTTACCAATGTAGATAGTCCCCCTCTTGCTGACATTGATCTGCTTCCCTATTCTGGCATCAATGATGGTTGGCCCAGCACTAGATGGTGTCTGGACTTTTGCTTTCAGAGCTATACTGCTGGAGCAGGAAGACAAGATTTGATTGAGAATATTCTTCCTCTTGACAGTCTTCATTTTATTGATGGTCTTGATGGTCTTCTTATCCAAGACCCCAAGCTTCCCAACCTTTTCATGAAACTTGAGTTCACTGATGGACTTGTCTTCTCCTGGGACCATCTGGGCTAACTTGGCCAGATTCTGTCTCCTCTTCCTTTTCTTTGTTCCTGGAAATTCATGATTTATTGGACTCACTGGGCTAGTGGAGGTTCCCTCATGAATGGTTTCAACAGTGAGCAAAGGCTGTTTCTTTGGTCGTCCTCTTTTTTTCTTGACAGGTGTGATCACAGTAAGACTGTCTGTATTGCTATACAGAGGGCTGGATGGTGTGATGGGATAGGCTGAAGGAGCCTCCACCATCAGCTTCTCAGATGTTGTCATGGGGATTTCCCAAAGGATAGATTTAGGTTTGCTGCAGGTCCATCGCTGCTTAGTTGCATGTTTGGTGTGCTGGAATTCAGATAATTTGCCAGCTGTGGGAAGACTGGTGTGTAGGAGAGTGGATGTTGCAGCTACAGATTTTCTGAGTCTGGTAGCACTGTCAGGGGAAGCTTTGTCAGTGAGCACACCACTGTTGGTAACTACTAAAGGGGACTCGTTTTCAGTCACTTTCCCTGGCTTTGAGGCTCGAAGATCTTTTTTACTTCCCCCTGTTTAAGAGCTAGTCCTGTTTTCTACTTCACTGCTCATAGCAAGTCCAGAAGGTAGACTTTTCTCTTGGATAGTTTTCTCTATGGAAGATTTTGCAGATTGCCTTTTTTTCCTTTTGTGGCTAGATGTATTGTCAGATATAGACAGAGACTTTATTGGGGTAGTAATTCGTACGTGACTGGTGTCACTTTCACAACTGCCAGCAGAAGTGGAATTCTGCTTTGAGGGAGATATATCCAACACACTGTCCATAGAGTAAGACTCCTTTTCCCCTTCCATGCTGTCAAATGCTTTCTGAGCACTCTTCATCCATTCGATGCCTGCAGTTTGGATGGTTTGACTTATCAGGTCCTTTTTGCTGGACTTTTTCTTTGTACTCCAAGCAGGCTGATCAAGGGCCTCCAGTTGCACATCTCCCTTTTGATCACCAAGAAGCAAAAGCCCATTGCACTCAGAGACGCTGCTTGTCTGGGTGGCCATGCTGATGTTGTTGGGTTGTGGGACTGTACTGCAAATGTCAAGCTCTTTACTACTGGCTGACAGCTGCTCCCACGTACTGCCAGAGCAGGACTTCTTTGCTTGGGATTTGCTGAAGGAAACTCCTGGCTCTGGAGCAGGGACCTTGGTGGCACTAACTGCTTCTTGACTGGGTTCTGTGTTGATGAAGCAACTTTGAGAAGTGGATCCAGTATCTGAGCTCACTGACCAGACAAGATGGTGCTGGTTGCCACTTTTCTGCTGGTGCTTTGATTTTAAGGTGTCACTGGTGAAGTCTTGGAGGCATGGATCATAGTGCAGAGCAGAATGGTTTTGTGGCTTGACATATGCCTGGAAGTGTCGTTACCGACACCCGATCCCCGGGATAGCTGCCACTCAACCTCTACCGTTGGGTGTTGAGGGATGCTGCAAATGGCTTTTATTGCGTCGCTGCAATCGCTTATATATGACAAGCCACGCCCACAACGCCCCTCGTGGGCAGTCTAAGCTTTCCGTTACATCGCGAGATCTTCCGCACGCCGATCCCTGCCTAGGGCGGGCTCTGCTCACCACAACATGGAAGGCAGAAGAAAATGGATAGAAAAAAAAATAGTTTATCAGTCCATTCATAACCCTTGTTGCAGCTCTTTATTTGCACAGTGAATAAAAACTCTTCTTAACCAATGTCCTTGTAGTGGGTAGGAGCCTTTATAAAGTCTTCTTATACTTCAGCCAAATTTGCATTATATTCATGATCTGTAAAATATTTTTTTGTTTCCCCATTCTAAAAAGAATGGAAATATTTCTATAAATGCTAAATTTCTAAAAAAAGTACTCAATTGATTTTTAATTTAAAACACAAGCAAAATATTCACTTCCAATGGATGACCGGTGCAACTCAGCCTCCTGGTGAGAATCCCTTTTTCCTAAAAATAATCCCTCATAGAACTTGACGCTCAGCAACAGAAATTAAGCTCATTGTTGTAAACAAGTGTATCGGGTCTGGCTGAGCTGATTTTTTGATAGCAGCCCTCCTGGTGCAGTGCTTTTGTGTTGGGAGTTAGAAGGGTGTTGATAACACCCATGTTATGACTACCACTGAGCAGTGCTCGCACAGCACCAAGGCTCTTTCTAACGTTCCCCCCACAATGGGATGGGGGGGCAGGAACTTGGGAGGAACATAACCAGAACAGCTGACCTGAACTGACCAAAGGGATATTCCATACCATATGACGTCAGCTCAACTATAAAGCTAGTACAAAGGAGGAGGAGAGGGGGGTTACTCCTCAGTCCTCTGGAGCAATCGCTATGCATTTTGGAGCCCTGCTTCCCAGGAAGGGGCCAGACATCACCTCCTGATAGGAAGTAGAGAATAAGTCTTTGTTTTGGTTTTTTTTCTCTTTGCTTCTGCGCACGGCATTGCTTGGCTTTTGTTCTCTAATTAAACTGCCCTTGTTTATACCCACAAGGCTGTTGTCTCCACCTTATTTTCCTTTCCCCTTTTGCTCTGTGGAGGAAGGAGTGGAAAGGGGGAGGGTGACAGAGTGGCTTGGTGGGCATCACTTGCTCAGCCAGGGTTAACCCGGCACAATCATGTACTGCTACTCTGTAAGTTGTAACAAACAAGAGGAAAATCAATGGGTCCATGTGGGGATCGGAGATGAGGCACAGACCGAGGCAGCTAATATGAGGGTCATCACACAAAACCTGATGGCTTTGGTACCATGGGAAACTACGGATAAGAACGTCCAAAGTGCATAACTAAGGAACTTAGAGAAAACACATAGAGTTGTGTAAGTAGATAAGCTGGAAACTGAAAGCAAAAATAGCAAGGCTTAACCACAACAATCAAGAGAAAATAAAAGCTTCAGGTCAGAGTGACCTGGCAGACAGCTATAAGTGTGTGTGAATTGTAGCAATAAATGTTTTCAGCTGCAAGCATCTCTGAGGACTGTACAATTCATATGCCACAAATGGCGCTTGAACAGGGACCCTGAGGGTCTACGGAAATAACCATCAAAATTGACGATCAGTGGCGTAGCCTGACTAAATGCAAGGGAGCCGGTGGGGAGCACTGTAGAAAGTCCAAACAATTCAATTGCCTGCTGAAACAGGTGAGCAGTAGGGGATGGGGGAAGATCGAGGTTTTTGAGTCCGGTCTGTGCAATCCAT